ATTAGGCGTGAAATCTTTAACTTATTAAATAGTCAGTAGAACAACTGGATCTCGTCTTTCCAACTCATACCATCTCTCTCTTTTTTCTGTTATGTGCAGCTTTGTTTCTTTCTTCCGCTTACACCAGTAAATATGCTAGAACCTACTTTTCTAGCACCTTCAAACACTGTTTAGTTTTGGCTTTGCTACCGACATGCTAATATGTTGTTGTCAAAACTAATTGAGATTAGCCTTAATCTATGTAGAATTTTATTTTATTGTTAGTTTACTAACTGGATGCAATACTGTAGTGAAATGCTGAGAATTCCATTCTGTATCGCAAGTACTGTTTCGGAATAAAGCTATTATCATTATCAAATAAATCTTATCGCGGATAACGGAAGTGTCGTCTACGTATCCTCTATAAATGTCGAAGTGACTGATGGTTTAACTAAGTTGAGAGTTTAATCTGATCCATGTTGCAAGGTGTGTAGCTCCTTTTTTGACTGGTTGCATTTATACTCTGTCTTTATTTTAATCGACATTTGACAATATTCATAAAAGCTCCATTTTAAACATAACTTTATGGGTTCACCAATCTCCCCAATAGTCCCTGACCTTTTCTTGAATAGATTCGAAGGTGACAACATCTTTTCAAGCATACTTACTCCTAAAGTATGGTTAAGATATGTAGATGATACTTTTGTAGTGCTAAAACGAGATCTACACAGTTCATTCCTGGAGAAAATAAACATTCTATCCTCCAGAATCCAGTTTACTTCTGAGGCAGAATCAGACATCCGTGAACTACCATTTTTAGACTGCCTAGCTAGTTAAGAGGAGGGAAAACGGACATTTTAGTATATCCATATTCAGGAAGAAAACCCACTCCAATAAATATTTGGACTTTGCATCATCTCACCCGATCAGCACAAAGGTATCAATTGTTTCAAGTCTTCTCAGATGGGTACACTCCCTGATAACGGATGAGAAAGAAAAAGAAGAAGAAATATCAAACATTACTGAAACTCCCAAACAAAACAACTACCCAACAAACTTCGTCAACAAAATCAACACTGACATTAAGTATGGTCAAAAGGATATTCCGAAAACATGGACTTCAACAGTCGTCATTCCATACAGAGCAGAGACGTTAGACGATATCAGAAAAGTACTCAACAAGCTCGACATCATAGTTTTCTTCAAAACATCATACATACTGCGAAACAACCTTGTCCATATAAAAGACTAAATCCCTAAATATTCTCTATCTAATTGTGTCTGTAAAATAAAATGCTTGGAACGTGATGCCATATACATCGGACAAACATCGCCATAGAGAAATCGAAATCAGAAGAAATGAACACCGTAGAGCATCTGTTCGACCAACAACCACCAAGAGATCCAGTTAGTGAACTAGAAAAGCTTGAAAAATCATCAGCCAGCCATAGGTCTACACGCTATCGAATCAGGCCACAAAATTGATTTTGACACTATTGAAATCATTATCCAGAAAAATTTCAGAAATCTCAAAGAACATCTGATATCAGAAGTACTTTATATCAAGTGGAATCCAAATTGTCTGAGCTGAATAGGAATGATACAATAAAATAGAATTTGACCCGGTTACAACACCACCACCACACCGCTCCACCATGAAGTGACAAAACCAACACGAATGTGATAAGCAATTTCATTATGTAAACACACACACATTTTATAATTTTACACACTTATCAAATCCAACAGTCCTCTACACCTGGTTGTGTTATCTTTACCAATTGGCCAATTTGACAACGCAAAAATGACCCTGTTCTGATGAACGATGATTATGTTGTTATATATAAGCTGAGTGGATGTTGTAAATTCTGGTTGAATAATACTGCCTTGATAAAGCTATTAGCATTAAATAGCGAAATGTCAGTAAAAACAACAATATTGTTTTGGCTTTTTCATTCATTGGGAAATACAAGAAAACCTTGATTATAAATGAATAATCGAAACAAGTGTTTCAGCGAAGAGACTCTTTTCAACAACGAATTTATCATCAAGCTGTACAATCATATATATGTAGTTTTTAAGAAGTTATATCCTGTGAGGGAATTGAATCATAAGTGTGAATGCATAAAATAATATTAATAATAGTATGAAATGAAATTAAACCTAAAATGTTTATAATTATAATCATAGTTAATGATTGTCATCCTGCGATAAAATTCACACTCGAAATGGAGAACAATCATAAATTTTGTTCGAAACGTCATCCAGTAAATAATACTGTTTCTTCATTGTGTGATACATCTAATAAACAAACTAATATGGAATTACTTACTACCGCAGCGCCCAAGTTTTACACATATATATTAATAGGACCAATGGGACCCTGAAGAGATCGATTTATCGAAAGGTGTCATGGAATGGTCAACTGACAAATTTCTACAGCTGGCTACCCATTGATCTAAACAAGACCTGGTCCGGTTGCTTGCCACTCGCATTCGGCCCATATGATAGTGTGGCAGATGAGTCATACATTTTGAGGAAAATCCTAATAAAAAATGGATCTCCACCACGTTTTATAGACAAGAATACACATTCAAATGCTATAAAACGTGACTTATCAACCGCTCCCAAGAAAACACTTTACATGAGCTTGAAATTCTAAGGGGACTTAGCTTCCGATATCATGAAAAGAACAATATCACAGTCCCTGAAAAGAACATTCCCTGCTGCATCTCTGAGAATAGCCTTTATTAGTCTACCATAACTGTTCAATAACCTGAAGGACAATATCCCTCTGTTGACCAATTCTATGTGTGTTTATCAATTCACCTGCTCGTGTAGAGCTATATTGGTCATTCGACTCGAGTTTTGTCCAAGAGGGTGCAAGGACATTATCCTGCATGGTTACGAAAAGGTGTAAGTGGAGCAATAAGAAGCGGGATTATTGAACATCTGGTCGATAATGATCACCCTATCTCTGTAGCCTCCACCTTTAAAGTCATCTACTAGGCAAAACATAATTTACCAAAATCACTACGTACGCGACTCATCTGTATTGCTGAAGCTTTGGCTATCGAAACAGAAAAGCCAGATCTCTGTGTACAGAAAAAGTTCGTTCAACCCCTCCAACTTTCATGGTCTTAATCCCCCTACTATGCTAAAGTATGGTATTCCCTAATGATATTGTGGCTCTACCAATTTATCATTTCGTCTATTCAATTTGTATACTCTTCCTTTATTACGTTAATTGTTACTATTACTAATCTCACTTTGAACTGTCCCCGTGATATGTATCCACATGATGTGTGTTTTGTTTTTGACAGTCTATTATATTTTGCTATATGTATATGGATCGATACTTCATAATAACTGACAATATGCTTTCGTCTCTCCACTAACTAAATAAACATGTATGACCTTCTTGTCACATGACATTACAACCAATCATGTTAAGACTATCTATTTATTGGTTCATGTGTATTAGTCATTTTCATATATACTTTTGTACTGGATACTTGTTCATACTTGTTCCCACGTTTCGTACACTACGTACCATTTCACTCACACTCTTGTGTGAAATGAAATCCACAACAGTTGGTCTAAGCCACGTAGGAAGGTGTAGACTTCCAGGCTGGGGTCCTCGGGACGGTAAAAATCTATGGTTGGAAACAATTGGTGACATGGCTCAAAATCGTTCTCAGTGGCTAGCGCAGATGCATCCACTCCCTGTGACTTATGATCTTCAATGAAACTGTTTTGTATTTCTTTATTACTCCTTTGTCTCACCCCTCTGCTCACTGTTTCTATTATGCTTTTCTTGTACTTTCTTCTCTTGCTTCGCGTGCTACACGGAATGTGGCGACTTGAACTGGCGCACATTTGTGCAAAGTTCTGTGTCGAAAACAGACAGACAGACAGACACTCTTGTGTGATATTTATTTTCCTTGTGTGGAAAATGCAAGTATCATCGTAAACCTGATGATCTTCTGATTTCCCTCTTTCCGCGTCAGGACTATTAACTACTCGACGAGTACATAACACCCAGGTATTATTTCACTTGTTCCACTTGTCATTCTAAATCGATTCTTTTTTACAACGTTAAATTCTATGCCATCAAATTTCACAAAATATTAAGTAACGTTTTTGTTTTATTCGATTTGTCTACTAATCTTATAATTCCACATCCCTTTTTCAAGTTCTATCCCTCCTATGCATTATTCTATATATGACATTAATTTGTTTTGCCACTTGACATTTGACTACGATTATAATCACAAACATTTTAGTTTTAATTGAACTTCATATGATTATTATTATTATTATTATTTTATGCATTCACACCTAAGATTCAATTCCCTCATCGGATATAACTTCTTAAAAACCACATATATACGACTGTACAGCTTGATGATAATTTCGTTGAAAAGAGCCTCTTCGCTGAATCATTTGTTTTGATTTTCTATATGTTACAATCAAAATTTTCCATGAGTTAAAAAATAATCCTAGAATATGATTTTGGTTTGTTCTCTTTTTATATTTCAGCCTCTCAGTCCAGTTCAGATTTAAAAGTTGATGAGCATACAACTCGTTTAACTGAATTCGCTCTTGGTGGTCTGTGTAATCTTGCAGCTTCATCACCAATTCTACGTCAAGATATTTTAAATCATACCTATCTGCCGTGTATTGTTGCTTGTACAACTTCTCCAGTTAATTCAGTCGTTGTGTATTCTTTAACTATCCTGATCCATTTATTTACTCGTTGTCCAAATTCCCCGGAAGAATCAATATCCTTGGGCTGTAGATTTCCTGCCGCAGTTCAAATAGCACGTCATTATTGTGAGTCATCATCTGGTCGACACGCCGATATTGATCATCGAATTAGAACTTTAGCACAAATACTATTAGAAGATTGTTGTACTACCACTGTTAATACTACTACTACTACTACTACTACTACTACTACTACTACTACTACTACTACTACTACTACCACGGCTAATACATCTCATTGACTTCTCTAAATGTCTACTACATTAATGAAATCCGGGTGTTTTTCGCAAATTCCATTGCTATCAATTATTCGTCGTACACCTCATGTATACTCTTGTAAAACTCTTTCTACAACCAATTTACATCAATGTTCAGATAAGTATTGTGTTGGAAAGGTGAGAACTTCATGTGCTGAGATAAAAACGACATTTGTAAGTCAATTATTATTATTATTTTGATTATTTTTTGACAGTTATTTTCGACTTCATGTTTCATAATCTGCAGATTCGGTGAGGAATTTGGAATATTATTTTCAACTGTCTGTCTCTTTGTGACATTAGAACTTTGCACCGATGTGCACAGCAGTTCAAGTCGCCACACACACTCTCTTTCTCTCCATGTACCACACAAATCAAGAGAAGAAAGTAGAAGAAATGCATAACAGAGACACTAGACAGGGATATGAGACAAAAGGAATAGTAATAGCGACGAACAATATAGTTTTATTGGGTATTATAAGTCACAAGGAGTGGATGCATCTGCACTGTCATTGGAAACAGTTTTGAGCCATATCAGCAATTCTCTCCAGCCTTCATTGGTTCTTACCATCCCGAGGACCCCAACCAGTCAGAAAGTCTACACCTCCCTATGTGACTGGCTTAAACTAACTGTTATGGATTACATTGACTGATGAAGCCATGTTTTAGTTTGACCACCACTGACCCTCTCTTTTCTAACCTCATCCATCCTATATCAGTTAACATTGCCCATTGTCTAAGAAGGCAATGGCTAGGCATGCATGCGTAACACATGTTCTAACCATCTCAGTCGATGTAACTTCACAGCCTCGTCGGTTGATTTCCCCTCTTTACCTAGAACTCGACGACTAACCTGAATATTACTCACCCTATTATACCACTTCACACGGGAGATAGAACGCAGGCACCTGTGATCAAAGAGAGCTAGCCCGCCTTTTCATTTCTTCCACTTTCAAAGGTCAGATCTCACAACCATAAAGGAGGACAGAGCGGACTGCTGCTGAGCAGTACACACATCCTTTGGTCGACAGTCAGCCGGACATCACGTCTACACCAGAGACGGCGTAAACTTGCATATGCGAAACGAGCCTTCTGTATCCGTGCTGAGATTTCCTCAGTGATTAACTGATTGCCGTTGGTTGATGCAACATTCCAAATAAGTGAAGTGGTCAACACGCTCTACCACTTCACTCCCTATTTCTAAGCTAGGAGTTAGTGTAGTCCAGTCCTGTAACATCATATTACATTTGACAGAGGAAGCGAATTGCATGCCAAACATTCGTAGATTGCAGCTCAGCTCAAGGTGTTGAGAAGACTTTGTATTTTGTCAGCGTTAGAGAGGAATCATTAAAACCCAAGTGGCACTGGACACCTGTTTCGTCCTAGTTTCGAACTCTTCGGCAGTACGCACTCACACCCCCACTCCTGGCCATCGATTATGGGACCTTCAAGTGCCGACGAGACTATGCTCGTTGACCATTTAGCCACTTGGACTGGTGGAATTTAACGACCCGTAAATTTTAACTTTGTCAGCTTGTGATTTTAGCTCTGCCATCACCAACGACTTTGATGAGCCTCCACATGACCTTGACATGTGGTGTGGACCTCACTGATGTGAGGGCAGTGCTGTATTACGAGTGGACAATTCTAGAACTCACAGGACACTGCATTCCAACCCAATTGGCTGTGAAAAGTCAATGGTCTTGGTCTCATAATCTGAATCTCCCGGAGTGATGAGTGCGCACTGTGAAGAGTTCCATACTAGGACGAAACAACTGTCCATTTCCCCGTTATTTTCCATAATCTCTAACTACTGTTGATTCTCGACAAAATTAAACCAAATCCTTACAGAAAGCCTTAGTCAAAAACGATATAACTGTAATCATATCTAACAGAAAGTTTGATTGATTTATAATACAAGTACATGCTGTAGTTACCTTTAATGCTCTACATAAAGTGTAGTTAACAACGAAAATGTTGTGGAGAAGGACAGTGAAAACTGCTCAATTAAGCTATCCAAATTCATTCCTACATGAGCTGTCTCATGGTGTTTTGAGGTTATTTGATTCCAGGTGTTCACTCATTAAATAAGTTCCAGCTCTTTACTCTGTGTGTATTGAAGCAAAATGTCTTCCTGTCATTATTATTATTATTACTGTGCTTCGGTGGCACAGTGGTTGGGACTCTCGCCAACCATGCACATAGTCCGGAGTTCGATCCCCTGCCGATGCACAACTGATATCAGTGGTTGGCCTGCAAAATATAGGCTACCGATATCACATGCTGAAAATTCCATACTTGTACCAAAAAGTACCGTGTGGAATCAAGATGTAATAAAAAAATAAACAAAAAATATTACTGCTACTACTAATTTTATGCTTTCCAAGTGACGCGTTGGGGATTCGAAAGCACGTCTCCATCACGCTTAGTTCTCTGGTATCCCTTTCAATAGGCTGCACAACTTCCCACACTGAATGACTGACTGAGTTTCAGCGTAGAACTTTGCACGGAAGTTCAGCAGTTCAAGTTGATACGCTCTATAAAATGCACAAAGACACTAAAAAGATGGTGGTGGTGATGAAGACAATCAGATTCAAAAGGACTCCATTGGGCAGAAAATTGAGAGTGGAAGAATAGTAAAGTGGCGAAACATTAAGGTTGAAAAGAACAAGAAGTTCAGCAAAGATGGCGATCTTTTCGGCGATTTCATTCTCGAAAGCTGTACAATTGCATTTATATAGATTAGTTTACATGGATACAATTATTATTTAATTCCACATAGTAACGAAGGGGATAAAAATTTTCAACTCGATACGAAAGTTTGAAGGTATTATTATATTTATTATTATTATTATTATTATTATATCCTTTAATTCCTACAGGAACATAGGACTTCTTTGATGCTTCTTCTGCCAGCTTGTTGCTTTTCACTTGCATATCTTCACGGACATATATCATCGGCGAAGTCCAGATCGAAAGTTTGAAGGTAGGAGTATAGATTACAAGGGGATTAGAGACAAGATTGCATAGGATTAGAAAACAGCTACACCGTATGCAAAATAAATATTTGACAATTGGAGAATTAATTTTAAAGGCTAATAAAAGGCAATAATTGTTTTCAATTTGATATAAATTACAAGAGGCTTAGACACGCAGGGATAGAACGAATTACAGGTGTGAACAAAAATGAGCACGGAAACAAATTGAAATCAAAATTTCCAACTTACAAATGTAAGTTAGCAGGAGGTGTGAATATAGATTACAAGAGGCTTAGAAACAAAAAGTTTTTTTATTTTTTTTTGTTTACAGCTTGATTCCACACTGTATTTTCGGTACAAGTATGGAATTTTCAGCATGGATATCGGTAGCTCAAATTTCGCAGGCCGACCATAGATATCAGGTGTGCGTCGGTGCGGGCTCGAACCCCGGACCATGTGCATGGTCGGCGAGAGTCCTAACCACTGTGCCACCGACGCACACAGGATTAGAATATAACTGTAAAATGGTCATTGTAAACGGACTACAAGTATGATCAGGAGGAGCATAGAAACAAGCTTAAAATAACTGATTTTATAACTGAAAAAGGGAATTGGATGAATTGAATGAAGGCAAAGAGAGAAAATTACACTCACAGATTAAAAAAACGAAGACCTGAAGGATAAGGGAACATACCGAACTAGGTCCATGGTAGTTGTAAAGGCTGGACTAGTTTCTTTTGATGAACACATTGCTCCAGTTTTCGATGCATATGGCGAGAGCTTCCACAGTACAAAGAAGTTGGAAACACACTACCTTTGGTAGATTTTTGTTCCCTTTGTAAATGACTCTAAATTATGAGTCGGTTTGAAATGCTGTGACAGGTATTGACGAGATGTTCAACTATTACGCTTCTGATTGAATCAGTGCCTCCTCTTTGCAGTCATGCTGGGTAATGTTCTCTAACACGTTTTGATAAGACCCGCATAGAACGACCTACGTACCTAGCTCTGCAAAAGCAGGTAAACTGATATTATATACACAGTGAAGTGGTCATATGCAGAAGTCTGTTCTTCCCGTTGCTCCGAAGTAGTAGGCGGCTAGAAAATATCACTCTCAGAGTTGCTGCCAGAAAAGTCTTCTTCAGGGAATTGGAGATTCTCCAAATGCATACGTTGTAATTGTTTCCTAATCCTATGCAATCTTGTCTCTGGCTGACACTTATGGTGTTCAAGCAGAGACCACATATTGTGTGTGTGATGTGAATAATTTTGTGGTGGAACTCTTTACCTCCTTGAACTGCGTAAATTTTATATTGTTAATCAGTTGACAAATTGTGGATTTCATCTTAGTAATGTCTCCGCTTCTGCTTCTTCTTATAATTACAAGACGCATATATATGCACTGACTAGTTTGTAGATTAACTGAGGTACTAGGCAAAGTCTGGGAATCAGAGACAGTGCCATCAGACTGGGGTAAGTCACTTATTATACCGATATTCAAGAAGGGAAACAAGTCCTCGTGTGATAATCATAGGGGGATCAGCCTAACGAACATAGTCTCTAAAATCCTAGGCTCAGTAATCATGCATAGACTAAGCAGAACTCGGGAGGAACAGACAAGGGAAAATCAAGCAGGCTTTAGACCAGGTAGAGGGTGCATAGATCATATCTTCACTCTTCGACAGATTCTAGAACATAGACACACTTTTCGGCGTCCAACAATTGTCATATTTCTTGACTTGAAGGCGGCCTTCGACTCCGTGGATCGAAAGGTACTATGGCAATGTCTGACTGTGAAGGGAGTGCCAAGAAAGTACATTGCACTAATCAAGGCACTCTATTCAAACTCACGTAGTCGTGTAAGGGCTTATGGGGAATTGTCATCTGAATTGGTAACAACCAGTGGTGTCCGACAGGGATGTCCACTTTCCCCATTTCTGTTTAACTTCATCATAGATATGCTGATGGAAGTATCCTTAACTGAACGTAATGACTTAGGAATCGACTTGTTACCAGGGAATAGTCTTATGGACTTAGAATATGCAGATGACATAGTCCTGTTAGGGGAGGATGCTGACAAAATGCAGAGTCTTCTGAACACCTTGAGCAGCAATCTTCGTATGTTTGGCATGCGATTCGCCCCTACAAAATGTAAGATGCTGCTACAGGACTGGACCACGTCAACTCCTAACTTAGTGATAGGGAGTGAAGTGATAGAACATGTTGACCACTTCACCTATTTGGGAAGTTGTATTAGCACCAACGGACTGATTGGCGATGAAATCTCAGCACGGATCCGAAAAGCTCGAGCTGCTTTCGCTGACTTACACCATCTCTGGCGTAGGCGTGACATCCGGTTATCAACCAAGGGACGTGTGTACTGCTCATCAGTTCGCTCCGTCCTTCTCTATGGCTCTGAAACATGGCCAATACGCGTTGAAGACATGAAAAGGTTGACTGCTTTCGATCATAGATGTCTGCGATCTCTGTCTCACGTTAGGTGGTTTAACAAGGTAAGTAATGTTGACGTTAGGCGTAGAGTGTTGGGCAAAGAGGGAAAATCAATCGACGAGGCTATAAAGTTACATAGACTAAGATGGCTAGGTCACGTGGTGCGCATGCCTAACCACCGCCTCCCCCGACGGGCATTGCTAGCTGATATAGGTGCAGGTTGGAAAAGAGCCAGTGGTGGCCAAACAAAAACATGGCCTCATCAATCCATGAAATCCTTGACAGTTAAACTGAGTCAGGTAGGGAGATGCAGACTTCCGGGTTGGGGCCCTCGGGACTCTAGGAATCAATGGCTGGAGACAATAGGTGACATGGCTCAAAATCGTTGTCAATGCCAGCGCAGATGTATTCAGTCTCTGTAATCTTTCATATTCCTTTCTACCATTACCCATTCTGTTTCACTCTTATACTTGTCAAACTCTATTGATTCTCTTCACTCATCTTCTTGTCTACCTCTGTGTGCTATTTGGAACGTGGCAACTCGAACTGCTGCACTTCGGTGCCAAGTTCTATGTTGAATCCAGACAGAGACAGCACTGACCAATTAGCAATATATGATTTAAAACAAATTCTATTCCACCTAATTGGTCATAGTTCATATTTTATGCAAATAAAAGTTTATTAGATATTATAAGCTATCAGAAGTAATTATAATGATGTGGATCAATCAATAACTTTAAAAAAGTACTCAGGTATTATGGTGCTAACTAGTTAATAATTCTATGAGATATAATGCAAATAACTCTTGGCATAATAGAGTTTAATAATAGTAGGTGAGCGCATATATACTGCAATGTTAAAATCATAAAAATTGATATAGAGAGAAAGCTTCAATGATGGTAGAAGGATATCAATGTAAATAGAAGAATTTTAAGCAATCATAAGAGCCAGTAAGTTAAGGCTAATTAAAATACTACAGGCAACTTGGAAGACAATAAAAGATTTTCAAGAATTTCTTCTATTTGTAGTATTATTCCCTTGCAGCTTCAACAGTACATCTTCACTTTGTCCGATCTGGCGTCCTCTTCAGCTGAGTCCACGATTGACCGAACTCTCTCATCTCTTCCTCCAACTCACACGATCTCCTCCATATCACCCTGGTAACTAGCGACCCACTCGTCGCTTCCCATTTAAATTCCACTCGAGCAATGGCCTGTGTTGCGCGCAATGTCATTCGGTGGTGGCCTCCTCAATGTATGCCCGATTCATCCATCTTCACTTTCTCCTACTGATTTGTTGAGCGATTGGCTCTTGCCTGTTGGTTTGTTCCACTGTAAAGTGTTTTGTTGCTTATTCTTTCTGGCCATTCAATCTTCAATATGGAGGCAGCCATCGAAGGTGGCAGATGTTGATAAAAGTTTGCAACCTGTTGGAAATCCTTTTCGTCACATACATTGCAAGTTTCTGACCCCTATAGGAGAACCGATTAACTTCAAATTGGTGTTGAAAATGTGCGAATCTTGTTCCTTATGCTGAGTATGGATGGTTTCCAAACTGGTTTCAGGTTGATGAAGGCGCGTATCTTGCCTTTCTGGAGAGGTTTCGCGTGCGTTTCGGATTGTGAGGGCGATTGTTATTTCCCGGCTGCGCTCTATTTTCCGTGTGAAGTGGCATAATAAGGTGAGCAACATTTAGGTTAGGCGTAGAGTTCTAGGTAAACAGGGAAAATCAATCGACGAAGTCGTGAAGCTACAAAGACTGAGATGGTTAGGACATGTGTTACGTATGCCAAGCCATCGCCTCCCTCGACGAGCAATGTTAGCGGATATAGGGTGAGACTGGAAAAAAGGTAGCGGCGGTCAAACAAAAACTTGGCCTCACCAGTCAGTGAAATTCACAACAGTTGGTCTAAGCCACGTAGGAAGGTGTAGACTTCCTGACTTGTTGGGGTCCTCGGGACGGTAAAAATCTATGGTTGGAAACAATTGGTGATATTGCTCAAAATCGTTCTCAATGGCTAGCGCAGATGCATCCACTCCCTGTGACTTATGATCTTCAATGAAACTGTTTTGTTCTTCGTTATTACTCCTCCTTTGTCTCACACCTCTGCTTACTGTTTCTATTATGCTTTTCTTGTACTTTCTTCTCTTGCTTCGCGTGCTACACGGAGTGTGGCGACTTGAACTGGTGCACATTTGTGCAAAGTTCTATGTCGAAAACAGACAGACAGACAGACATCTTGTCTTTCTGATTCTGGCTGGCTGATTTTGACATCTTCGTCTGTTCCAGCTGCCTGTGGTTAAAACGATGCTTCCTAGCGCTGGATAAGTGAAGGAAGTAACCTCTGTTAAATCTCTCCTTTGTTGATGGTGATTGGTGCTGATTGTTGTTGTTGTTGCTGTTGCGGTTCGTTGGTTGTCTTCATCACCTCCATCTTCTCTATGTTCACTTGAAGTTACTTACTTACTTTACTTTACTTCGGCTATCTCCTACGGGAGGATGAGCCGGCTTCATGAACGTCTCGAATCATCGCTGCCCAGGCGCAGCAATGTGTAAGAGAGTTCATAAAGTTTCATGGGGATTTGGTACGAGTGATGTCCCCAGAATCGCTCGGCCTTTTGTTTGAGAGTGCAGCTCTAGCCTTTACACAACCAAGTGTGACCTACAAGGCAGTAGGAGTGGAGTAAGGAGTCCACTATCCATTGGCAGCCGGTGACCGGAGTTCGGTTCATACGCCTTTTTGAATGGGGCCAGACATCCAGGACATCCAACAAGCCCTTTGTCCATACGTCTGCCGGTGAGCTCCAGTGAGCTTCATACGCCAGTCATTGGAGGTTTGGAATCAGGGTTTAGCCATCTCCCCTAGATCGTCATCCAATGGACAGTCAACCCGGTGGAGAGCGCCGGGCATCCGCTTTCGCCCTCTCACTTTGGTGAGAAACACCTCCGCCACGTGAAGGCAGTGAGTAGGACTTCCTCAGGAGAGGCTATGTAAGACGCCTGGTCATATGGGAGCATTTCAGGAGGTGTGCGGAGGGGTGGGCAACCCGCAGCGCAAGGCACCCACCCCCGACCATCCTGAGGCTTTGGAGTTCTTGAAGTTCTGTCTTCATTACCTCTTCAGACATCTTTTTGGTTTCCGCCTACCTGCACGTCTTCGAGTTCCTGTGACAGTAGACATATATCATCTGCGAAATTCAGGTCTTCCAGAGTCTTCTTATCAACCGTCCAGCGTATTCCTGTTTCCTCGCTCTCCACAGTCTGACGCACAATCCGGTCATCTATAACTAAGAATATCAACGGTGATAATAGGGGTTTCTATTTATTTCAGGTTAGACCACAGATTGATATCAGTGAAAGAACCATTGGAAAACCAGCATAGAGTGCTGGACAGCCTAGTTTGGGACTCGTCGGCGCTAAGCACTGGGTTTCAAACCCCAGGACCTTCCGGTTACATGGCAATCCGTACACCATTCAGCCATTGGGACCAAACTAAATAGCCCATAAATTGTAACTCCTACCAGTTCGTGATTTTAGCGCAACCACCAACCAATGTCATCAGCGGGAACTCCATCCTCACTACTCCCGACTGAATGAACCCCACTGGTTACGACTTCTCACTAGAACCCCAGGCAACTTCGTCGTGGTTGGTGGTCCCTCTAAAATCACGAATTGTGATAGGAGTTAGAATTCATGGGGTTGCCACTGGATCGGGTCCCTGCGGCTAAATGGTATACGAGGTTTCCTTGTAACCGGAAGGTCCTGTGTTTGTTGAAGCCCATTGGGTGCGTGTATTACCGATGAGTCCCTAACTAGGCTGACAAAAAAAGCTGTCCAGCATTCACTGGTGGTTTTCAAATGGTTCTCTAACTGATGTCAATCCGTAGTCTAACTCGAGACAATAAAGATTGACATCTAGGCTAGCATTACTACATAACAGACTTGAAGATGACATTTGAATCCGTCGATCTACAAGGGCTGTCACTTTACCTGACGCGGGAGTGTATCTTATTAATCAAGGCGCTTTACTTAAACTTGATGTCCAGTGCCTCTGTTTCTGTTTAACTTCGTGTGCGTCGGTGGCACAGTGGTTAGGACTCTCGCCGACCATGCACATGGTCCGGGGTTCGAGCCCGCACCGACGCACACCTGATATCTATGGTCGGCCTGCGAAATTTGGGCTACCGATATCCATGCTGAAAATTCCATACTTGTACCGAAAATACAGTGCGGAATCAAGCTGTAAATCAAAAAATAAAAATCTTGGATATAATAATAGATGCGACTCCAAGCTATTTTCGCCATTCAGGGATTGATTTTTTTTTTACCAGGGAATGTTAGTTTCTTCGACTTCAAGTCCTTCGAGATGGCGATGCTGATAAAGTACGGGGTTTTCTGAGTGCATTGAACAGAAATCTTTGAATGTTTAGCATACAATTCGCTCTTTACGAATGTATGATGGTGCTGCAAGACTAACTGAGTCTGCATTGACTCCTAGTTTTTCAAGATAGAGAGTTCTAATGGACTAATCGTCAATGTATTGTCAGCGCGTATAGAAAAGACTGATCTAACATTTACCAACTTACGTCATCTCTGGTGATATTAGGCTGTCCATTTACTGCACAGTATTTCTCTTTGTCCTTCTTTCTGCCCGTGAGAGATGGCCACTGAAAGGTTATGCTAAGCTGTGTTAAATGACTTAATATTTTGAGTGATATTGAAGTTAGAACAAATCAATCGATGCGGCTGTTAGGCCACCTTAACTGAGGTAGCTAGAACGAACTTGTGTCCCGCATCCCACACCACTGCTTTCCTTGTTGAGCAATGTTAGTTGACATAGCACGATTAGGTTGGAAAAGAGTTAGGGATGGTCAAAATGAAAACCATCATCTGTTCATTACATCTTTGACTGTCGGTCTGAGCCATTCATGTAGACAAGTGTAGACTACCTGGTTGGGGGTCGTCGAATTGCTAGAAGTCATTGACTGATGGTGACTGTTGATGACACATGGCTCAAAATCTTTTTCATTTGTTCAGATGCATTCCGACTTTATGAAGTTCTAGATTTATCGAATTCTGATTAATCTTCATGTGCTTATTTCTTTTTCCTATACTGAGTTGGGATGTATCACTTTTGTGATTGATCTCAGTTATATTGGGTGGTGTCTTTGGTCAATGTGATTTCTGATATTTCGATAATTCAAACCAAACAGGCTACATAGTTTTCGTGTCAACAACATTTCAGTATTCTGACTAAGTTAATTAAAGGCTTAAATGTACAATGTGTAGACCAGTAATGAAGTAAGAGGATATCATTGTATACATTTATGTTATGCTAAGCTTCTGTATATGCATGGCTAATTGGTTCATTCTTCGACCAATCGGTTCATGGTTTGAATCTCGTTCCACCTACTCCTGCCTGAGCAACTATGTATTATTGTGGTGAGAGATGGCTGTTAGTCAAAATTGGTGGACAGTAATTTACGTCAATGTTTATGTCTCCAATATTGGTCGTGAGAAAAATGAAAAGAAAGGCTTTGCGTAGTCGGATACAGTTAACACATAAATGATCTGACATTCAAGAAACAGCCACAAAGAGATGAAAGATTAGCTTTCAGTGAGAAACAACCAATCAGAAGACTGTGTTTTTCTGCTCACAATAATCTATAATAATGTACATGAAAATCTTTAAATATTTGTTGATTTCCTTAATAAACGATCTGTTGCTTGTCTTCTGTTGTTACGTTATTATTACTATTAAATCACAAACTTGGTGTTTTATGGGCACCAACAGATTCGCCACACAAAACTGTCTCGTAGTTTGTGCAAGGCCATTGCCCACTGAGCATTTGACTGGAAGACTAATCCACAAAGAAGTGGAGATACTCTCCCATGGCTGGAGGTGACCAAAACAGGTGCATACGTCATTTGATCCGTTTGAATACACAGGTTTCATATTATGACTACCCGGCTCCTCCACTCTAGGTCGACTCCTGTGTATATCCACCAGACGGGTTGTAAGCCCCGGACATTCGTATTCGCCCTTTTACTTGTGTGTGAGGAACGTCTGCCGCTGTGAAAACAGAATGGGGGGGGACTTCTGGCTAACTGATTTCTAACACTGTGTGTTTTTCGCTGACAAAGTGATTGTGAATGGATAACACACTTGATATGTGTATCAATGCATTATGTTATAGTTCATAACTATGAGAGAAATACTTCATCTAAATGCTTTCCCAACCCATCCATCATATAAATCTCTTGTGAGTGTTTATTAGCCACTGATAAGACTGTTTTCTTTTATCCTCCTAGAATGAAGAAGACAGATCAAAGTCATATTCAACAGGACTATCACATCAGTTGTATCCTTCTGCAGAGAATCAAGGTAAGCGTTTTGAAATTTGTGATAATGTTGGACTCTTAAATCATCTCTCATAAACATTCTAAGAAGTGTGTGTGGTTCATTCGATTAAGCACTCGACTTTCAACTGCAAGATTCCCGGTTGAAACTTGGCTTCACATTGCCATCTGTTCTGATAACTGAGCAGTATAATAGGCCGTCAAAAGCCACTTAACTCCTTTTACATACTGACTGGACTGGCTTCAGCGTAGAAGTTTGCACAGATGGACAGCAGTTCGAGTTGCCACACTTCACTTAGCACACAAAGCAAGTGTAGAGAACGATTTTGAGCCATATCACCGACTGTCTCCAGCCTCCACTGGTTCTTACCATCTCGAGGGCTGAAACCAGACAGCAGTCTACACCTCCCAACATGGCTGGCTGGCTTGAGCTAACTGTTGTAGATTTCATTGACTGATGAAGCCGTGTTTTGGTTTGACCACCATGTGGTTTTTTTCTCTTGCAACCTGATCCATTTTTATTTAAGCTAACATTTCGCGTTGTTGAGGAAGACAATGATGAGGCATGTGTAACTTATATCCTAACCATCTCAATCGATGTAACTTCACAACCTCACTGACTGACTTCCCCTCCTTGCTCAGTACTCACTCGACCGACGCCTAACTTCAGTATTGATCACCTTATTATACCACCTAATACGAGATGTAAATAGAACGCAGATACCTATGATCAAATGCAGCTAGGAAGACTTTTCATGTCTTCCACTTCCAATGGCTATGTCTCGCTCATAGACATAAAGGAGGACGGAGAGAACTGCTTAGCAATATACACATCCGTTCGTCGACAGGTAGCCGGATATCACGTCTACTAAGCAAGGGATGGTGTGAGCTGGTGTACGCCAAATGAGCCTCTTGTATCCATGCTGGGACTCCGTCAGGAATCAGTTCATCAGGGGGGACGTGCAACTTCCTAAATGAGTGAAATGGTCAACACGCTTCCCCGTACCAACTCACTCACCTCTGTCTTTAAGCTAGGAGTGAGTCGATTTAGTTCAGTTCAGTCCTGTAGCATCATCTTACATTTGATGGGGGCGAATCACATGCGAAACATTTGAAGATTGCTGCTCAGCTCAAGGTGTTGAGAAGACTTTCTATTTCGTCAGTGTCTTCACCTCACCTAGGAGGACTATATCATCCGCATATTCTAAGACAATGAGATTACTCTCTGGTGGTGAAAAGTCATTCCGTGAATCGTTGAATTTAGTTAAGCTTAAGTCTATTAGCACAACGTCAATGAAATTAAACAGACGTTATGGGGACAGTGGGCATCCCTTATACTACTAGTATTAATAAGTGTTCGTTTGTAGGAATTTCATTAGTTTCAACTTTAACTAAGAAATGATGTCAGTTAAAGAACCATTAAAAATCAGGGAGCTCATGGCGTAACTGGGGCGTTCGTGGTTTCAATCCACGGTATGCGGAAGTTTAAACTATCTCTATCTGTTCAGAAATAATTCGTCATCATACTGAACCTTCTTCAGTGTATTGATCACAAAAACTTGGCACCAGTCAATGAAACCCACAACAGTTGGTCTAAGCCACGTAGGAAGGTGTAGACTTCCAGGCTGGGGTCGTCGGGACGGTAAAAATCTATGGTTGGAAACAACTGGTGACATGGCTCAAAATTGTTCTCAGTGGCTAGCGCAGATGCATCCACTCCTTGTGACTTATGATCTCCAATGAAACTGTTTTGTATTTCTTTATTACTCCTTTGTCTCACACCTCTGCTCACTGTTTCTATTATGCTTTTCTTGTACTTTCTTCTCTTGCTTCGCGTGCTACATGGAGGGAGTGTGGCGACTTGAACTTCCGCACATTTGTGCAAAGTTCTATGTCGAAAACAGACAGACAGACATTGATCACTATTGCTATTTTGATCTTCATTGTGGCCTTCTAACTTAGCCTATCAATGTCTATTCTCTCACCCATTGACGCTTTATCCTATGACAAGTATATGTGTTGTGGTCAGATATTGCTCGGAATGTATGTTGCGTGCAAATATATATTGCACCATTCAGATAATCTATGTCTTCTTGTTTGTGCATCGGTGGCACAGTGGTTAGGACGCGCTAGCCGATCATGCACTTGGTCCGGCGTTCTGTCCCCTGCCAACTCACTCCCTCATTTCGCTAAGCCAGAAATGAAAGCTGGTAAAGAGCAAAGGTTGGCATGAGGCTAACCACCCTATCCCGTAAAAATGAAAACTACTGCTAGTCTCATGTCCAACCTTCCTTTTTTCACCAGTCTTATTTTTGGCTTAGCGAGGTAAGGGAAGGAGTGCGTCTGTGGCCGTGGATCGAACCCCTTGCCACATGTGTGGCTTGTTTGGCGAGCATTCTATCGTCATGCCATCGACGCATATTTATGTAATATATAAAGCAGCGTAATTTTCGTAATAAGCAGAGGTTAGACTATACATTTACCACTGCAGACATATAGGTGTGCTTTTCTGGGCTTCCAATTATCTTACTAATCTTTGCTAATATTTGGTTTGTTTTACTTTTGACAGGCAGAAACGTTCACAGCCATGATTGTTCATTTCCATCAGATGATATATCTGATAAATGGATTTCTAATGCATTGGAGTCTTCTTCCCGTGCTTCTTCAACATCGATACCTTCAACATCTTGTCCAACTACAGTAGACTTAGTTATCACCCAACCATCTCCAGTTCTTCTACTTCTAAAGCATTATTCATCGATTGCTGCAGGTCTGTCGAAGGCACGTCTTTCTGGCTTAGTTGTGTCGACAGCGTTAGTTGGTTGTGGTTTGGCCGCTTCTACAAGTTTAGTATCTCCTGAATTTCTTGAACATTGTTATCGTACCACATGTTGTTTAGCTGTTGGAACTATGCTGACTAGTTCCGCGGCGAATTCAGTTAATCAGGTAAGATTTATTTATTTTTTTAATTTTTGATTACAGCTTGATTTCACACAGTACTTTTTGGTACAAGTATGGAATTTTCAGCATGTGATATCGGTAGCCCATATTTTGCAGACCGACCACTAATATCAGTTGTGCATCGGCAGGGGATCGAACCTCAGACCATGTGCATGGTCGTTCAGAGTCCTAACTACTGTGCCACCGACGCACAGTCAACTGTGATTATTGTTTATTAGATGTATCACACAGTGAGTGAAACAGTATCACTACACACTGGATGACGTTTCGAACAAAATTTATTACTATTCATAATCATATCACTTATGGGCCAAGTTAAACTTCAGACATCACCAATAACATGCGACCGCACCAATGACCTTGAAATACCTACTGAGCAAGTTAGTAAAACCTGGCAGGTAATGTTGTCATCTTCAATAAAATATGCTCATTGAAGTGTTATACTATGAAATGGGAAGTTTCAGCTTAGGTGTATGGGAAAGATTAAGTTACACTTTAAGCCAAGGACAAGTTAGGGTCAGGTTAACCTATTAAAGGCGACATTAGGTTTAGTTTAGGGGTGAAGTTAAACTTTCGACACCACTAACTACCAATCAGCGAATTGTCCAATGAGATTCACGAACGATGTCGAATTATCCAATGAGGTTCACGAACGCAGTTCAATGTTGTATAGCGCTTGATTCATTTCTAATGCGTGACCTTACAATGCTGTTGTTGCAATTCGAGGAGGTTAGTGTTTCCCAGTATTTCCTAGATTTCAGTTGCTCCGGAAAGAACGAATTTGATTGTGTGGTGGTATCATGACTTTAAAAAGCTAAACCAAATCAACTGATGGGTTTGTTCATCGTTGTGCTATATGTTTGAAGCCTACTAACACTAGAGAGGGTATGCTGATAATTTTATTATTTCGTAGGAACTTTTTTCGCTAGGTCGCTTCTCTCCCTAAGGATAGCAGATAGGAAAGCAACTACTTTTATACCTATTGTTACCAGAATTGTTAAGCGGGGGTCAATCATACACACGGACGAGTGGAAAGGCTACAATTCACTGTCATCTCTGGGATATATTCATCATAGAGTCAACCATTCAAGTGATTTTGTGGATCCCGTTACGAGAACACACAAATTCTATTGAAGGATTTTGGGGCAGGTTGAAAAATAGGATAAGGGCCATAAATGTATCTCAAAAGGATCTCATTTATAGTCATTTGGATGAATATATGTACAGGATATGGTGTAACTTCTCCATTGACAGTCCCATTCTAAACTGGGAGATTTTTCTCTCACATGTTCGAGGAAGATATCCCATGTAACCTTTTTTATTATCTATTTTATGCATTTTTCTATAAATATACATTTCCATTCATCATATATGCCTCTTTAATGTGATTGGTCCGTTCGAGGTCGTTTGCTGATTGGTTGTTAGTGGTGTCGAAAGTTTAACTTTGCCAGTTTAGGCATGTTTTCACGTAAGGGTAAGGTTCAGGAAAGATTAGGGTTATTGTCAGGGTTAGAAGACCTAAATAATTACATGCATAGAACGCGGTTAAATTACTCTGTTGACATAACAATAGAAATTGTGCACTGTGGTGGTAGGGTATAATTCCATTGTGGGTAAAATTTATTTTGATAAAGTCTCCCGGTGTGTTATACAGTAATGTTTATTGATGACCATATTTCGAGCACAGGTGTATCACCCAGTAAATATTACTGCATAACACTGTGAGACTTTATCAAAATAAGTTTTACCCACTATGGAATTATACTCTGTTGATATTCCAAACTTAAACTGAGAGCTATTTTTATCAAATGTGACAGAAAGGTATCCTCTGTAACACTTTTCTACAGTTATTATGCATTATTTTATATATGTGTGTGTATTCCATACACAAAAATGCCTCCTTCGTGTGATTGGCGCGTTCGAGGTCATTCGCTGATTGGCAGTTTGTGGTGCTTAAAGTTTAATTTTGCTCAATTATGATCACAAGACTTCGTAACTTGAGTTTTATAGTTCTGTTGGTTCTCTCCTATTTATCGTAGGGGTGGTATAATTTTCTAGACATCTGGCTTGACAGGTGTTGAATCATTCCTATTACATGTATTCTCCTCAGTTGATTCGATAAACTAAGCTTCTGTTAGCAACCTCTCCCTCCCTATACCCTGTGACATTAGATTTTAAAACTGTCATCCTATCCCATCCTATTGTGTGGTTGTGTGTAATTGTATGGAGTACCATCTTCCACAGTTGCCTCAGTAACCACAGTTATATCATCATCGTCATCATCAGTATCTGTTGCACAGTAAATTTGTAGCACAATGGTTGTCTTTTGTACACTTGTACACTCCAAAGCCTCAGGATGGTCGGGGGTGGGTGTCTTGCGCTGCGGGCTAGCCACCCCTCCGTACACCTCTTGAAATGCTCCCATATGACCGGGCGTCTTACATAGCCTCTCCTGAGGAAGTCCTACTCACTGCCTTCACGTGGCGGAGGTGTTTTTCACCGAAGTGAGAGGGCAAAAGCGGATGCCCGGCGCTCTTCACCGGGTTGACTGTCCATTGGATGACAGTCTAGGGGAGATGGCTAAACCCTGATTCCAAACCTCCAATGACTGGCGTATGAAGCTCACCGGCAGACGTATGGACAAAGAGCTTATTGGATGCCCTGGATGTCTGGCCCCATTCAAAAAGGCGTATGAACCGGACTCCGGCTGCCAATGGATAGTGGACTCCCTACTCCACTCCTACTGCCTTGTAGGTCACACTTGGCTGTGTAAAGGCTAGAGCTGCACTCTCAAACAAAAGGCCGAGCGATGCTGGGGACATCACTCGTACCCAATTCCCATGAAACTTCATCAACTCTCTTACAAACATTCGAGATGTTCATGAAGCCGGTTCATCCTCCCGTAGGAGATAGCCGAAGTAAAGAAGAAGAAAGAAGAAGAATTGTATGAAGTAAGTGGTATAGCTGAATTATTCTCTAGATTTCTTATCTTATTTTAGGTCAACCAATCTAGATTTTGCTAGGTTTTTGTGTTCAGCTAGTCTGACTGACTGCCCCCTGTTCTACTAGTTTGACCCATGTATTTGACCTAATAATCATTGCAGGTAGGGTATTATACAAACTAAATTGTTTTGTTTATTTGGCTGCACAGGAGGATCCTTTAACCCCGACACAGCTTGTTTCTAAATGAGTTTTGTGGGCAGTTTGAATGCCAGTCACTTTTATTCCTGCCTTGTTAAGAATTCTGCGTAAGGTGGTTTCCGAGGTTCCTTCCTTATATGGAATTACTACAACCATACAATAAGGTGGGATAGGATGACAGTTTTAAAGTCGAATGTAAAAGGGTGGAGAGAGAGACTGATAACAGAAGCTTTGTTTGAATTGAATTTTTGATTTTCCCGTCGATTGATTGGACCGAAGTGCTCGGTCTCAGGTTGACATGTCGGCTTCTTGTGCAGATGCTTCGACGATGTCTGGTACATCCAGCTGACGAGTCCCAAATACGACGAAATGCGCATCCTGGATTTCACTGCTAGCCACCATCCACCAATTGTATACTAACTAAATGCCCGGACATCGTCGAAGCATCTGCACAAGAAGCCGACATGTCAACCTAAGACCGAGCACTTCGGTCCAATCAGTCGACGGGAAAATCAAAAATTCAATTCAGTAATTAATATGACCCGTTGCACAAGAGGTGGCTCTCACGGCCCAAGTGGTCTAGTGGATAACGCTTTGGCGTTTGAAACTATGGGTACTGGGTTCGAGCCTCGGTGGGAACGTCATCACTCACTGAGAAATGCAGGTACATCCAGATGACGAGTCCCAAATAGGACGAAATGCGCATTATCCTGGATTCCACTGCTAGTCACCATCCACCAATTAAATAGAAGCTTTGTTTATCGAATCAATTGAGGAGAACACTTGTAACAGGAATGATTCAACACCTGTCCCCACCCAGATATCTGGAAAATTCTACTACCCTTACGTCGACAAATAGGAGAGGACAACACTAGGCAACTCTTTAGACTCATCAGGGAAACGGGTGGGAGAAGGCAAATCATAAGTGAGACTATTTCTGAGAAAAATGGCTCCTTAATTAGCTCTCAAGATAGACGCCTTGAACGCTGGAAAGAACACTTTGAGGAACAATTTAACTTGCCTACAGCCACACTGAACCTCCCTGCCATCCACCACGTACCCGAATGGGATATAGACACTGGTCCGCCGTCTGTAGGTGAGGTTACAAAAGCTATCAGTAATTTGAAACGAGGCAAAGCGGCACTAGAGTACTGGACAGCTGTTTCATCCCACTAGTTTGGGAATCATCAGCAGTACGCATCCACTGCACTATGGTTCGAAGCCAGGACCTTCCGGTAACAAGGCCAGCAAGCTCGTATACCATTCAGCCACTGGGACCCGATTCAATGGTCAGTGCATGAATTCTAACTTCTACCAATTCGTGATTTAGCGCAACCCCAACCAGTGTCGTCGGTGGGACATCCATCCTCACATGTGACATCTGGATGAACTTGACTGGTCACGAATTTTCACTAGAACTCCAGAAAACCCCATCCTGTAGCAAGTTACTAGCGGGCATCAGAATAATTTTCTATGGTTTGGTTTGACCTGGGTTCGAACCCCGGTGGGTGCGTACTGCCGATGATTCTCAAAACTAGGATGAAACAGCTGTCCAGTACTCTAGTGCTGGTTTTCAATGGTTCTCTAGCTGATATCAATCCGTGATCAACTCGTTAAAACTATAGAAAAACAACTTTTTCATAGTGTTCGTTTGCTGGGGCTCCATTGGTCTCAGGGTAGATTACGGATTGACATGAGATAGAAAATCACTGAAAACCAGGGAGTACTGTTTGATAGGGGTCTCATCCTTTTTTATTTAGGATTCTCGCAGTACGCACCCATGATTCCACTCAGAATTGGTCCCAGGACCTTCAGGCTACAAAGCCAGGCCTTTGATCCTAACTTTCTTCAGTTTGCGGTTCGTAGAACCACGGCTAAGTAGCAGCTGACTTTAGGATGAAATCGTCTGAAGTTCTAGTAAGTAATCGTGACCACCAATGAAGTTCAACAGTTCGTGTGTGAAGACAAGTACTCGCCGAAGATATCGACGAGTGATGATGATATAAATCGCGGATCTGCAGGAGTTGAAATTCATGCTTGGCTATTAGCATTACGTCTCAGTGATTGAATGGTGAACAGTATTAGCTTCTTAACCTGAAGATCTTGGTTTCGATCCCCACTGGCGTCATGGCTGCGTACTGCTAATGACCTCCTGGTTTTCAATGATTCTGTAGCCGTTGAGACTGGATAGAAGAAACAGAGAGAGAGTCTACGACTGTGGCGTCATGGGATGATGGATATTTGTGTCAAGTTAGCATCAATGAATGCAACACGAATTCCCAGTTAGCGCCGGTGTCTCAAAATATTATCAGATAATGGCTAAGAATTGGAGATTTTTCCTTCACTTTCCCCAGTGGAACATTGGACTTCAAGCTAGTGGTTTGAAGTTTCTGTAGCAGTGTTTAATTTTACAGGATGTGGTTGCTAGCCTCATGGCCAACCTCTCCTCTTTACCAGAATTATTTCTGGCTTATCGAAGTAAAGGAGTGCGTCTGTGACGGGGGATCGAACCCGGGACCATGTGCATGGTCGGCGAGCGTCCTAACCGCTATGTCACTGACGCACTTTGCAACTATCAATTGTGAATTATCCTACAATTAATTTCCGTCTTTCTTCTCCTTTTTCTGAAAGTACCATGAAGTGGTGAATGTTAAAATTGTCTTGATAAAAATATAACTCCATTATGGATAAGATTTTATTTTGATAAGTCATACAGTGTAGTGTTATACAGTTAATATTAACTGATGACCACGTTTCAAGCACAAACTGTTGCCACTCATAATCACATCAAGTCACTCACTCACACAACTTTCTTGCTTCATCTATATACATGTATGGAATTGACTAGTGACGGCGTCATTCTGCATATTAATTCCGATGTAGATTTCTTAACCGTATTCATTATTGTATCTACAGACTTCTTAATTTCCCCATATGGACCCGTCTTAATACGTTCGGTGACTTCCTTGATATAGCCAGATTTATCTAAAACTACTGTGAAGTTTGCTTTGCCAGCTTTTGCGATGACAATATTTTTAATAATAATAATAATTATTTGATTTATACCTGAAACTGTACTAATGATACAGTGTGGAATTTTCAGCACATATCTACAATATTGCATCTTATTTCATCTCATACTTAAAGGAGTATTTCAAAAAATAAATATAAAAAAAATAACGACAAAAAAACACAAAAATAACAAAAAATGCAAAAAATACTATGAAGTAGAAAGGGAAATCAACAACAATAATGAATAGTATTTCAGTATTTGCTAGTAGAAGCTATGATATGTGTATGCGTGGTGAACAGTAACAGCTATAATCATACAAGAAGTTATGCAAAGGTTCTTAAGAATGTTTATAGCCAAGATGATCAGTTAATTTGATTGAACTACACTAAACAATCATAAAATAAACATTCCAGGGTTTTTTATTTTTTATTGTCAGCACTAATGCAGTGTTTGTTGTGGTAGTGTGAGTAATCATGCATAATACAAAGACTTTAGGATGGTGATAACGGTGTTCACAACCAAGATTGTCAGTTTTAATATTGCCGAACAAAAAACAACAGTCACAAAACTAATATTACATGAAGGATAATGACAGGACAATTTTGTAATACTCATAGTGATAATATAGTCGGGACCACTAGAGACACAAAAGAAGGAATAGAATAAAGTACAAAAAAGTAAGCCAATGTTAATGATTTAGGTAGGTAAGTATGTTTAGGAAGGTTGTTCACTATAGAATACAAATAAAAGAGAATAAGGGAGAAATAAAAGGGCCAAAAATTTTGTTATTAACAATCCTGTTTCAGACTAATTAGAGCCTCTTTTTCCTATGTTGTCATCGCAAAAGCTGACAAAAGAAACTCCACAATAGTTTTAGATAAATCTGATTATATCAAGGAAGTCACTGAACGTATTAAGACGGGTCCATATGGGGAAATTAAGAAGTCTGTAGATACAATAATGAATACGGTTAAGAGATCTACGGCGGAATTAATACGCAGAATGAAGTCGTCATTGGTCAATTCCAAACGTGTATATAAACGAAGGAAAAACTTGTGTGAGTGAGTGAGTGACTTGATGTGGGAATAGTTTGTGCTTGAAACGTGGTCATCAGTTAATATTAACTGTATAACACTACACTGTGTGACTTATCAAAATAAAATCCTATCCATAATGGAGTTACACTCTATCACAGTACCCAAGTTTTATACATATATTGATAAAGAGAAGATGTTCAGCGAAGAGACTCTTTAGCGAATTCATTCACATAGCTGTACAATCGCATTTATATATAATTATTTGTGTGTGTGTGTGTGTACATGAGGTTTGTCAAGTTTAGATAATTGATCAGGTAATAAAAGAATGATCTAATATAGAAACAAAGTTAATTGGACAGCAACTAAAGGAAGATTGAGTTAGTTCGTAAGTTAGATGACTTAATATAATTGACTAAAATGTTTCAACTTAGGTCAGGGTAGCAACAGAGGTAATTACAAGTAGAGAGAGAGACTAGAAGTAGAATAATGCCATTTAAATTAGAACTGAAATTGAGGAAATAAGTTGGATGACGTAACATGAATGGCTGGAAATTGAGCGTTGGTCAAGTCAGTAACCATATGGTAGTGAAGTGTAGAAATTAAATCGGGTGGGGTTAGAGAAAAAGAAAGTTGAAAATGTAAAATATTACAATTGAGAAGACAAAATAATACTAATGAAGAGACAGAAAAAAAAGGATTAAGGAGAATTTACTTATCGGGTAATAAGACAGATTATATCCATTGTAAATGTAGTGATTTAACGAACTTCTTCTGTATGCAGAGTTCATGCAGACTTAGCAAATGAATCACCATTGCTTCTACAGTTTGAAGAAGTCTGATTCGTACACCTTTAGGAAGACTACTTCTTGCTCTGTAGACGACTTTGAAGTTTGTTTGGGGTGTAGCTTGATGTCCGGAATCTATTGGATATTCTGAGATAGAGCTGCGGGGTCATCGTTTTTCTCCTTTGTAAAACCATATTGGTAAGTGTTCGGTGATACGCTTGGAAAGCGAACGCTGGGTACGGCCGACATACCTTGCTCCATACTAGCAGGTGAATTGATGATACACATTGATGAAGCCAACAGTGGTACCTTATCCATCACGTTCACATGAATCATAGGTTTTGTGGAGGTCTTTTTGAGTGAGCGCGACAGTCGATTTTTTTAGTGTTTCCGCAGATATATCTCCATTGAATTGAAGGTTCATGTAGAGTAGTTTTGTATATTGATATATATATGTATATATGAATATAAAAAATATAAATTTATATTGATAAAAATATGCTTCTGGTTGATGTCCTTCATTTATTCTCTTATAACTTTCTTTATGCGTCATTGTTTTATCATTGCTGTGTAGCGCATCTCATGTCCACTATATATATTTTTTACGAAGTTTGTGTTTTAAATGATAAAACAGCGTCATAACTTACAGCAGATTCATCAACTTATGTGTTTTATTTTTAGATTATTGAAATTCCCTATGATAGTCAAATGACGCGGACAAAGAATCGTGTACTCGTTCGTGGCTTGACAACGTGAGTGATTTACTTTTGTAATATTTGTTATATATAAATAAATATTCAAGTCTGATTTAAGAACGCTTATAGCTATATTCAAGTGTTAGTCCCCAGGGATTTGATTGCTTACAGGATTTCATCAGGAAAAGAATACTGGACAACAGTTTCATCCTATTCTGGGACTCTACTTTAGTAGTACGACCTATTCAGTTAGGTAGTTGCTACATCCTAGTGAGAAGTCGTGACTTGTGGGGTACAACAAGTTGGGTGTGAGGACAATTACTCGCCACCTATGACATTGGCTATAGTGGTCGAGCTATATCGTGAATTGGCAGAAATTGGGATTCATTGTCTAACCATTGAATCGAATCCCAGTGGCACTTGATGGTCTACGAGCTCCCCCTGTAACTGGTGGTGGGTGGATACTGATGAAGAGTCCCAGACTAATCTGACAAAACATCTATCCAGTCAATCCCTGCTGATTTGCCGATGGTTCTGTAACTGATATCACCTCATGCTGAAATTCGGTAACTAATTGAATCCGTGCAAACCAACACTTGAATTGGTGTATATGTTAATTCAGATATCAGAATCACAATTAAGTGGTGGGTGAAAAGGGAGGTGAGGTCTAGCCCATTGAATAGCTGTAGCTTCAATAGATTTAAATGTATAACTCAAACGTATTTTATATTGTGTGTTTTAAGGCATTTGACTGACTGACTGACTCGTTTCAACATAGAACTTTGCACCGATAGGCAGCAGTTCGAGTCGCCACACTCCCTCCATGTAGCACACAAAGCAAGATAAGAGAGTTAAAGGAAATGCAAAATAGAAACAGTAAACAGAGACATGAGACAAAAAATAGTATTAACGAAGAACATTATAGTTTCATTAAGTAATGGATGCACGCGTCGGTGGCATAGAGGTTAGGACGCTCGCCGACCATGCACATGGTCCGGGTTCGATCCCCGGCCACAGACGCACTCCTTTACCTCGCTAATCCAGAAATAATTCTGGTCAAGAGGAAGGGTTGGCCATGAGGCTACAACCCCATTCTGTAAAAATAAACACTACTACAGAAACTTCAAACCACTAGCTTGAAGTCCAATGTTCCACTGGGAACGTGAAGGAAAAAAGGTGGATGCATCTGTGCTGTCATTGATAACGATTTTGAGCCACAGCACCAACTGTCTCCAGCCTTCATTGGTTCTTACCGTTCCGAGGACCCCAACCAGTCAGTCAGGAAGTCTATACCTTCCTACGTAACTCAAATGAACTGTTGTGAATTTCATTGCCTGGTGAGACCATGTTTTGGTTTGACCACCACTGGCTCATTTTCAGTCTGACCCTATGTCAGCTAACATTATTTGTTGGTCTAGGAAGTCGATGTCTGGACATGCATGCGTAATACAAGTCCTAACCATCTGAATCGATGTAACTTTACACCCTCGTCAATTGATTCCCCCCCCCCCTTACTCACCATCCACTCGACCTATGCCTAACCTCAATATTGCTCACCCTATTATACCACTTCACATAGAAGATAGAACGCAGGCACCTGTGATCAAAGACAACTAGTCAAGATTTTCATGTCTTCCACATATGGCCGTTTGAACTTAATTGTGTTCTTTGGGCTGGTTGATTTAATTGTGAACTTTTCCCTTTCCTCCTAGACAATATCTTCAGCTCAGAGAAAGACAAAGAAAACCGTGAAATTATATCGACTAGCTCAGAGAACATAACTAAATTGAAATCATCCATCTGAGGCTAAGAATCTTCTCCATTAACACATCTCTATTTCAAGCTGCTCTTTGCAGATTTTTAGCTGACCTTACAAGTGTCTATGAGCTTTTGTTTCCAGCCCACATGATCTCCTCCATGTCACCAGTGGTCGTCCAGCTCGTCAACTACCCTTTTGGTTACGTTTGAGGATCTGTCGGGCTCATGGTGTCACTAACAGCCTCCTCAACGTGTTTCCGACCCATTCACTTCCATTTTCTTCAGCATTTTTCTTGTTGAGCAAAGGTAAGAGTAGAGGAAACTACTCTGCAGCCTATTGTAAGCGATTTTCGCGACGCATATCCGCCATTACTCTGAATCATACAGAAGCATTCACACGACGTTGGTGTGTGTGTGTGTGTGGGTTGAAGATTTGGACCTTGTTCCTTATCCTGAGGGTGTAGGAGATTCCCACACTGATTTCAGAACAGCAAAGTTTTGTCTTGCTTTTGTCATCGTCGCGTTGATGACATCCTGTAGTTGAAACGATGCTGTGTGGCCAGGTAAGTGAAGGAAATGACTTCCTGTAGATTACTCCCGTTGACGGTGTGATTAGTGCTAATTGCTGATATTGAAAATTGTTTCAGATGAACAGTGAATAAATTAGTTGAACAAATCATCGAATATCGAATTTTTCTTCCTATTGTTGTTGTTTGTTTTAGACCTGGTAGAGCAGCTCTTTTCGCTTTAGCTTGTTCCAGTTCTGGATTGGGTTTACTCTATTTCGGTGTTAACCCCCTGGTGGCTGAATTAGCTGCTATGAATATGCTCTTATACACGTGTATATATACACCAATGAAACAAGTGAGCCATCTGAATACATGGATTGGAGCTTGGGTTGGTGCTATTCCCCCGTTGATGGGTTGGGCTGCTGCCACTGGACAATTACAATGCGGTAAGGCTTCTTTCTTCTTCTTCTTAATAACACCGATTGCTCTGTGTATTTCACTAAGTAGCTAGTCAGAAATCGGATGGTTCCAATACTGAATTCGGCTCGATGAGCTGAGTCTAACAGGATACACTGTAGATGAGCTCAGTCTCGAACTAGGGGGATCACTTCGATCTGGTTGGTTAGCTAGCAAACACTTTTGAATTGATATGAGTGGATGTACAACTACTCATATAAGTCAATCAGTAGTATTCAAGAGTTTGTTTGATACCAGTTAGAGAACCATTGGGAAACCAGCATAGACTGCTGGACAATTGTTTTGCCAGCCTAGTTTGGGGCTCATCAGCAGCACGTACCCACTGCCAGTGTTCGAACCCAGGACCTTCCATTTACATGGCAGTCCCGCAGACCGTTCAGCCACTGGGATCCGACTCAATGACCCATAAATTCTAACTTCTACGATTATTGATTTTAGCGCGATCACCGCTCTTGAAAATTAATCTGATGCTGTCTAGTGACTGACTGCAGGAAGACGTTGCCTGGAATTCTGGTGTGAGAAGTCGTGATCAGTAGGTTCGACCCGGTTGGGAGTGAGGAAAAATACTCGCCGATAACATTGGTTGGTAGTCTTGATAAAATCATGAATTGATTAGAGGTTAGAATTCATGGTCTGGCCGTCGAGTCGGTTCACAGTGGTTGAATGGTCTGTGGGATTGTTTTGTAACCGGGAGCTCGTGGGTTCAAAACCTGGTTGGACAACCAATGAGACAGCTACCTAGCACTCTACGCTGTCTTTCAATGGTTCTGTAACTGATATCAACCCAGTTGAGTCGGTGGCATAGCGGTTAGGATTCTCACTGACTGTGCATTTTTTCAGGGTTCGATTTCGGCCGATGCCCACCTGATATCAATGGTCACCCTGCTAAATTTGGGCTACCGATATCATATGCTAAAAATTTCATACTTGTACCGAAATACTGTGTGGAATCAAGCCTCAAGCTTTAAGGTTTGCAATTTCAGTAGGGGTTACTAGCCTCTCTCCCATACTATCCTCATTGCCACGGGTTTCCTACCAGTTTATAGCGAGCTTTGAGAGTGCGTCAGCTGGAGATCTAACCCAGACCATATGTATGGTTGCTGAGCATTCGACCAATCAACAACGACGAACGCATATTTATGATTATTTTAGTTAGCAGTGTAGATGATCGGTGTACAGCATATACTCACATTAAAGCTTTCAACACTAAACGATAACTTTATATTGAAGTTATCACTGAAAATGCTGCCTAGAAAGAAGAAATGAGATCTTGGCTATCATATTTTCCGCATGGTGAGTCTGAACATCAATAATCGGAGTGTAATTTGTACAAAATTTAACACCATCAATAGAAGAAATCTGTAAAGGAAGACACCTATTCCGCCTACCTAGACACTATTGTTTCAAATACAGATGGAGTCAAGAGAGAAAAGGCAAGACAGTATTTCACTGCATGGTTATAAGTGTGGAAATCTGCTTCAATCTCAGCAAAAAGAACAAGATTCGGTTTTCTTAACACTAATGTCAAGCAAGTCCGTGCTTCTGTGTAGTTCAAAGACTTGGCGCATCACGAAAAGCACTTACTTCCAAAAGGTCACTGGAGACTTTCACTAACAACTGCCTTCTCTGGCTCCATAATGAAGATCAGATCGCCGGTGGACTAGAAAGGATTAGCCACAAGGAATTTTGACGCGCAACAAACCAACTAACAGACACCCGAAGAAACTGGAGATGGACTGGACATACACCGAGGAGACTGTTGAATAACATAGCGTACCAAGCTGACGCTCAAGTAGAACCCGAGTGTGAAATGACGAGCTGTGCCTAAGTGCAAGGATGACATGAATAAAATTGTGTGGGGAGGAAACGAAAGCTCATAGGCAATTGTGGAGTCAGCTGGCCACTGAGAGTGGAAGACATGAAAAGACTAGCTGTCTTTGATCATAAGTGCCTGAGCTCTATTTCCCGTCTAAAGTGGCATAATAAGGTGAGCAACATGGAGGTTAGGCGTCGAGTTCTAGGTAAACAGGGGAAATCAATCGACGAAGTCGTGAAGTTACAAAGACTGAGATGGTTAGGACATGTGTTACGTATGCCAAGCCATCGCCTCACTCGACGAGCAATGGTAGCGTATATAGGGTCAGACTGAAAAAAAGCTAGCGGCGGTCAAACAAAAACATGGCACCAGTCAATGAAATCTACAACAGTTAGTCTCAGCCACATAGGAAGGTGTAGACTTCCAGGCTGGGGTCCTCGAGACGGTAAAAATCTATGGTTGGAAACAATTGGTGACATGGCTCAAAATCGTTCTCAGTGGCGCAGATGCATCCACTCTTTGTGACTTATGATTACCAATGAAACTGTTTTGTTCTTCGTTATTACTCCTCCTTTGTCTCACCCTTCTGCTCACAGTTTCTATTATGCTTTTCTTGTACTTTCTTCTCTTGCTTCGCGTGCTACACGGAGTGTGGCGACTTGAACTGGCGCACATATGTTCAAAGTTCTATGTCGAAAACAGACAGACAGTGGAGTCAGCTGAAGAGGATTGTATAGAATAGACTGAAATGTGGACGCGTTGGAACCCATGGGAATAATAGTAATAACCATAAGAGCACACTGAACTGCTGTATATGATTAAATTTCTATGAATGTTTTGATGATGAGGTTCATGAGAATACCTGTCGATCCTCCTGAAAACCGGTATATAACTGCCCAGTCAGTGGGTGTATCACTGTGTGAATTCTGACCGACAGATGCTACCTTGCATATCTCAATGACCAAACGATCTACACTGGCTTGAACTAATGTTCATGGTAGGTCCTACTATGCTAGAAAGGTTGTTTTGATAGCTGTTAAACTAAAAGCAGGTACTATTGTAACGACAGAAGACAAGGGTCAGGCAACAGATCATTTATTGAGAAAATCAACAGATATTTATAGATTCTTATGTACATTATTATTAGCGTTATGGTTAGCAGAGAAACAGCATCTTCTGATTGGTTATTTTCCTGCTAATAGCTATTCTGTCATCTCTTTGTTGCCGTTTCTTAGACAGTCCGGTGATATATCTTCTAATCGTATCCACCCACGCTAAATCTGCTGTGGTTGGTTGTTGAGTTCCTCAAGGTTAGGCTTTGTTCTTGTTTTTCTCATGACCCTGATTTGGGACGTGAACATTGACGTCAATTGTTGTCTACAATTTTGTCTTGTAGACAGCTCTCACCACATTATCATAGTGTAAGTCACCTGTAGGCGAAGCCATACTGTTCAGGGGGGTGCAGGGAATAGGAATATATCAGCAGTAATGTTTTCCTCTCAGATCATGACCAGCATGCCTGCAGTACTGCCTCTCCTCTCTGATGATGGGTGAGAGGGTTCAGAAGAGGTTGACGCCGAAAACTGTACATCCCGACTTACCTTAAAGCGGCGGTTCGTCGCCGGTGGTAGGATTTTAATACGGACATAACTTTAAAAACCACTTCAAACAGGTAGTGTGTGTGATCCGACAGCGAACATTTGTCCCTTGGTCTCTACGGCCAGGTACCGAAAGTCGTTCCGAAATGTTGTTTAGAGAGAAAAGTTTGTGTCATGTTTCATAACAAAGTAATTAATGTTTTATCTTCATGTTGAATATATACATCGGTCCTTTTATTTATGTTTTCTCTTGTTTTTAGGTTCTATAATGCTAGCCAGTCTACTCTATGTATGGCAATTCCCACATTTCATGGCACTCAGTTGGAATATGCGTGGAGAATACTCAAAAGCTGGTTATACAATGACATCAATAGTTGATCCGGAAATGTGTAAACGTGTCGCACTTCGACATGCTATCGCTTCAAGTTTAGTCTGTCTAGCCGGTGCTGGATGCAGTGCGATCAGTTTAGGCCCATGGGCTGGTTGTGCTCTGGGCATAGGCTCACTACCAGCCAATATTGGTTTAATTTATTATGCCTGGAAATTCGCCTATACAGATTCATCCAGTGGTACATCATTAGATGCAAAGTGCTCTGCATCATCGGCTGCAGCAAGACGTCTATTTCGAGCTACACTCTTCCACTTGCCTGTAGTTATGCTCACTGTGTTAGTTGGGGCGTATTGTTCTATTAATTCTGGACATGCGTAATGTCAGTGTAATTAGAAGATACTTTGTGTGTGTGTGTGTTTGAGATGATGATAGCACATTATAACTCTCATGTACGTATGTGTAGTTCAGTCCGTAGGATAATATTCACACACACCCTTCCACCACCCCTGTATCACCTCCGTCTTAGTCAACTGTATTTTCTACTTGCATGTTTATTATGAGTAATAGTCTGTTTCTTTTTCTTAGAGTGGATTGATTTAGAAATACAATACTTTTGCAGATATATACTCAAAGTCGTTTTTTGTTTTGGTGAGAAGGGGATGGCTGGCTGGGAAATAACTATGCACTACCAGAGATGAGTAAAGTTGACTGCTGTGTCTCAATTGCTACCGAATTATGTACAACAGACAATTCGACATGCATACAGAATGCTCTTTGTTGTCTTTGAGTATAAATTAGTATTTAATTGGTGGATGGTGGCGACCAAGTTGCCACTTCCCGTTCGAGTTCCACTCGAGCTATGGCCTGTCGTGTGATGTCACTAGATGGTTTTCTCAGAGTATGGCCAATCCGCCTACATTTCTCCTTGCTTATTTGTTGCACAATCGGTTCCCGATTGTTTCGATCCCAGAGATCTCTGTTGCTGATCTTTTCTGGCCATCTGATCTTGAGTATTGAGCGAAGACAACTGTTAATGAATGTCTGTATTTTGTTTGATGTGCTCTTTATGACGTGCTGGCCAAGTCTCTGATCCGTATAGTAGCACTGACTTCACATTGGAGTTGAAAATCCGGACCTTGTTCTTCATACTGAGTAGAGCTGTTGACCTCCACACAAACTTGAGAGTAATGAAACCTTGCATTGGTTTCTCGATCGTCACTTTGATGTCCACATCAATTCCGTCGGCCTATAGTTTAAACGATGCTTCCCAGGTCAGCAAATAAACGAGGTTGCTTTTTCCAGATTTCTCCCATTTATGCTGGCTGATTGTTGTCTGTTTTTGTTGCTGCTGTTGCTTTTGACCAGGAATCTTCATCAACTACCTCTGTTTTCTCCATGTTCACCTGAATTCCCTCCTATCTTTGATGCTTCTTCTGCCAACTTGTTGCTTTTCACTTGCATATCTTCCAGTTTGTGGGAAATCATACATATATCATCGGCGAAGTCCAGATCCTGCAAGATTTTTGTGTGGGTCCATTTTATGCCTGTTTCTTCGCTTTTTGCTGTCTGACAACCTTTAATAGCCAAGCAATATGATATAGTCCTTTTTGAGTAGCTCAGGAAAGACTGAGGGGGAGCAGTAAAGTATAATAGGTTAAGTGAAAGAGTTTAAAAGTGGAGGTTAATTTATACCTGGTTGGGGTCCCCGACATTGTAAGAACCGAATGACATAAGACTATTGCTGCTATGACTCAAAATTGTTCTCCATTCTGTAGATGCATTAACTCTTTGTGACCTGACATATCCATTAAACCCTAATGTTGTTTCTCCTTGTCAATGTTCTTTCTCCCTCAGGTTTTTCTGTTTATAATAATCGTCTACAGTCGTCGGTGGTTCAGGGGTAGAATACTCGCCGACCATCCATATGCTTTAGATCTTGACCTCTGACCGGCGCACTCCTCAACCGGTAAGGAGGAAAAGTAAAAATAAACATCACTGCTAGTGAAACTTCAAAGCTCTAGCTTGAAGCCCAAAAAGAGTCATCCAAATCAAATTAGCAGTTTGCCAGGTACATAGTTAGAGGAGGTGAAATTTCAGCAAAGTTTCCTGTAGAAATCTAGACTATTCAGATCGCAATATATATAATCTGTTCGATACCATAAGTAGTAGTCAAGAATTTTGCATGAAACTATAAACTACTGATTGATATTAAAATGAGTAGTTGTATTATAACACTAACTTCAACTACTTGTGGTTGCTAACCAGATTATCGAAATGATTTAAACACTGGACAGATATCTCGCTCGTTTTGAGTAAACTGATGATGAGGTGTGCCACAAACGAGCGAAACAGTCCCGTCCAATATTTCAATTATTTCGATAATCTGGTTAGCAAGCACTACTGGTTGCTTATACTATGCCCCACCAGTGATGCGTAAAGTTGACTACCGTGTCTCGATTGCTAGTGAATAATGTATAACAGACAATTCGACATGCATATAGAATGCTCTTTGTTATCTTTGACTATGTATTAGTTTTTAATTGGTGGGTGGTGACTAACAGTGGAATCCAGGATATAACGCGCATTTCGTCCTATTTGGGACTCGTCTCCCAGCTGGATGTACCTGAATTTCTCAGTGAGTGATGATCCCACCACCGAGGCTCGAACTCAGTGTCCATAGTTTCAAACACCAGCCAAAGCGTTATCCACTAGACCACTTGGGCCATGAAAGCCACTGTCTCTTGTGTAACGGGTCATATTGATTTAACTGAATCTTAGATTTTCTCATCGATTGTGATTGGACCGAAGTGCTCGGTATCAAGTTGACATGTCGGCTTCTTGTGCAGATGCTTCGACGATGTCTGAGCATTTAATTAGTATTTAATTGGTGGATGGTGACTAGCAGTGTTAACTGGTATAATAGGGTGAGTAGTAAGTACCTGAGGTCAGGTAAGCAAGGAAAGTTATTTGATAAGAGGTTATGAAACTACATCGATTGAAATGGCTAGGACATATATTACACATATCTAATTATCTCATTCCTCCAAGAGCAAGGTTAAGTGATATAGGATGAGGTTGGATGCCTATGTTCTATTTCCAGCGTTCAGTGGTTTTTATCGTCCCGAGGATCCCAACCAGGAAGTCAACACCTTCCTACGTGGCTTAAACTAACTGTTTTGGATTTCATTGACTGACGAGGCCATCTTCTGGTATGACCACCACTGGCTCTTTTCCAAGCACAGTATTACCTTTCCACATAATCCCCTTTATGAATTTAAATATTCCAAGAACAACAGTGGCGGTTTGTGCAGAATAAAATAGCATCATCCTTGTTTATTTCGTCAGCTTCTTACCAACCATGAAGAGCCTAAAGAAATGGATTAAGTTTATGTAGAGAACAATTTTAACATACTTGCAAATGCCACATAATATCAGTTAATGACAGAAGACATCGAACGTAATGAACACTGCTCAGAAAATTACAATTATACGGCTTACACTCAGAAAGTCCAAACTTAAACAAAAATAAATGCTGGCATACAATGGTAAAGGAGTTACGCAATAAAGCCAAAAGGGGAATAAAATGATGGGTAACTAATAAAATTGAGTAACAATGTGATAAGTTTAAGTCAAAACAAACAAGAGACAAGCAAAGCGAAGGGAACAGAGGTTAAAGCCAAAGACTACTTAATTAAACGATACAGCAGGAGAATAAAGATACCCAGTGGAACAAACAGAGTGGGTTTCACTGGTTAACTGACGGGTTTCAGCGTAGAACTTTGCACAGATGTGCAGCAGTTCAAGTTGCCACACTCCCTCCATGTAGCACACAAAGCAAGAGAAGAGATTCAAAACAGAGTTAATAGACAGAAATATGAGGCAAAAAGAATAGTAATATGGAAGAACAATCAGGTTTCAGGCGTTCAATAGCAACTGCATCAGCAAAATTAAGGAGAATTGAACTATTCTGTCTATTGATAATTTCAGAGGACATCATGATATCCATCTCAAGACTCGTATCAAGGAGATGCCTCGCAATGACCTAAACAAACTGGTTAACACTCACGAGGTGTGCAACATACATGGCACTGAAATAGAAACCAAGTCAGAAATTAAATACCTAGGCGTCATTGTATCTGCTGGTCGTCTCATATCTTGATGATTTCTAAGAAAATATTCCGTCTTACCTTCTACATCAAGAAGTTAAGACATTCTGGAATAACCCAACCCTTACTCCTACAATTCATTAACTCTTGCATCCTGCCTATTATTCTCTATTGTTTCCCCTTAGTTTTTCCCGGGCTACTGAAGAAGGATTATATCTTATTATGTAGGGTGTTAAAGGTTGTCAGCAGGGTAAGCAATGTGTGACTTAACCAGCTTGTTAATATTCTTGTCGATAGGCACTTGGACTCATGTGAAAAATGGGCTAAATCCATTCTATCTAACTCACACCACCCTCTTCATTTACAACTCTCCCCTTGTATCTTGTCAGACAAAACGGGAAGCCTATATAGAAAACTATATGCTCGCACTAGTAAGTACAAAAACTCATTCATACCCTACTTAGCTCGTGTTCTGTGCGATAAAGAAAGCATTAGGCGTGAAATCTTTAACTTATTAAATAGTCAGTAGAACAACTGGATCTCGTCTTTCCAACTCATATCATTTATAGGTACAACGTTTTTCTTTCTTTCCTTTCCTGTTTTTGTTATGTCATGCTTTGTTCCTCTCTTCCTTACAAACTCTATTTAAAACATTCTTCTTCGTTCTTTCACACTCTGTATATCTCGACCTTTTGTTACCTCTTACGTTAGTAAATATGCTAGCATATACTTTTCTAACACCTTCAAACATTCTGTCCACTTTTGGCTTTGCTACCGATATGGTAATATGTTGTTAAAAAAAAAAAAAAAAAAAAAAAAAAAAAAAAAAAGAATTTTATTTATTGTTAATGTACAAACTGGATGCAATACTGTAGTGAAATGCTGAGAATTCCATTCTGTATCACAATTACTGTTTTGGAATAAAGCAAATTATTGCTGTTATTATTATTACTGAAGGCTTAGATAATCCTTAGTTAGCAATCTCTCCTGATCTTTCTTTTTCATGTAGACAGTATATTCTTTATATGAATTTGCTAATATATATATACACACACACACACTTTAAGCATGGAAAGTATAATTCCAGACACTTAGTGGTGCAACTTTTGCGCTGGATCAGTTGTGCAGTAAAATTGTTACCAAAGTTACACTGTATTACTTACTCCATTGAATAAGAGTATACTGGAGTGCTAATACTACGATAATATGTATATTTCTGAAACTCAATAACATTAAAAGTCAATCTGAACGAAGAATATTCTTTCCAATAAT